CAAAGTGTGTGGGGACAGTTTTCCGATGGTGGTGATACTAATGACCGAAGCATAAGACAACAGACCTGGGAGAATGGAGGGGAGAGATTGTGGGCACCTCTTGAAGGTGGTGATGCTGGCGGAAGGAGTCCTAGGCAAGAAGAATGATGCCAGTAGACTCTTGTCAAGTTGGTTGCCTAGTGCTTAGTAAGCCTAAAGGGAATGAAATGGAAAACGAGAACAAAAAATGTATAGGAAAAATCCATTGCCTTCATATGCAATACATCTTGTTCTTAACTTCTATTTCTCATGTTGTACGTTGAGTAAGCAACAATTGCACCGGTGAAAATGGACAGAGGATTATCGTATGTGTTGTAGCAAAAATATACTATCACAAACACTCGTATTTTTACCACCCAAGAAGCTAGTTTTCATGGACTCTTTTCTTGTCTCCGAGACATGTAAGAGATAAAAAAAAAAAAAAAAAAAAAAAATTAAAAATAAATTCTCAAATTTTCCAAGAAAATTATAAACTTTTAATTTAATCCAAGAATTAAAATAGATAGAACGATTTTATTCGAATAGGATTTGTTTTATAAACTCATATTTTTGTGTCTTTGGGTTCTTAAGAGATAGTATTATCACCGTCAAGAGTTCACTGGCATCATTCTTCTTGTCGGCACCCACAACCCTTTCCCTCAATTCTCCCATGTTTGTTGCCTTATGCTTTGATCATTAGTATCACCACCATTGGAGAAGTGTCCTCGCATTCTTTGGCTCTTTCTTCCGTGATTGTATGATCAGAACGTAATTAACGGTGAAAACAGTTCCTGAATCATTGATGTTGTAAAAGATCGTTTTCAATTGAGTTTGATCAAACTGGAATGCTCAGCAGGTTAAGTAAGACAGAGTTAGATATTCAAACTTTATTATTTAAAAAAAAAAAAATTACAATCGATGAAATATTTTCTCTAATAAATATAATGCACCTCCCTGAGCTCATAAAAAATTTGCAAAGAAAGTGAGACAAATGCAAATTCGCATACCCATGCCTTCCCCGCATCTGGAGCAGGTTGGATCAAGATGCAAATTTTGCATAATGATTCTCATAACTGGCGGTATGATTAATTACAGTAGTACCCACTTATGACCACTGAAAAATATCAAGAACATAATGATTTTTTTTTTTTTTTGTAAGCAAGATTTCATGGTTACAGGTCTATAAATATGGATATTTTGTTTGCTTTTCTGTAAATGTGGATAATTACATATTAAGGAAAAAATAAATTACAAGTTGAAGGCTATGCAGATTTTTTTTAAAAAAATCGCTAGACAGAATAATTTTTAAAATTGAAAGGATTAAGAAATTAGAAATCAGCTAGCAAAGCGGGCACGAAGAATGGTTAACTTGCACGCAACAAACACACCCCGCTCGTCCTCTTATCTCCTCAATCTGCCTTTCCCTTATTTAAATCTGTAAGAGAGGGAAAAAAATAATTCATTTTGATTGCTTACATCTGTGGATACATTTTCAAAACAAAAAAAAAAAAAAAAGCAAAGGAGGTGGTGAGTTTTTGGTTGATGAGTTGATATGCGAAATTTTAGAGAGGTGAAGTGTTCATGGGGACTGGGGAGTTTGGTCAGGAGAAAGCAAGTTGATTCCGTTCATTTCAAGAGAGAGGGTCACCAGTTGGCTAGGAAATTGTCTGCCATCGACCTCATTGCTATTGGTACTACTAACTTCGTCTCCTTTTTTTCTCCCCAAAAATTCAAGTGGGGTTTTTTTTTTATGCTTGCTTGCTTTGAATAGGGTGATGTTATAGCTCCCT